TGTGAATTGGAGCTATAGAAATAAACTGAATAGAATTGTATCTAAAGAGGCCAATTAGTAAATGATCCATGTTCAAGGTCCTAACTGTCCACTACTCAGATTTACATGGTTACATGGTTGGGACTTAAGTATATATATCAAAAAATGCAATTAATTGCGTTAATTTTTCCCATGTTAAAATGTTTTTATTGATAAAAATCAATGAGTTAAAGTCCCGGTGTCCTGTCAGAACAACATACACTGATCAGCATACCATTAGTTTTTATCTAACCTAAATCTCTCTCGACGTCCGGGAAAGTTCAATCATGTCTGGCCGTTTCAACATTCAAGAAATACCAGCATAATCAAAGCTGATTTTCTATTTCAAAAGTTAAAATAAAAGTGTTTTTGCTGGTCGGTGCACAGCAGCTAAAATTCAATGCGGGAATAATTCTGTGTTGCGAATGTGCATGCATGTCTATTAGAACAATGTATGCCGATCTGACAGCGTATGATGTTCTGACAGAACACCAGCCCTGATCCAAGTACGAGACACTGACACTGTGCTGTATGTTTAGATCTGCTCTTCTTTTCATTTCATTTGTCTGAATTTCTGATGATAGAACACATTCAATGAAAAAAAGTTAATCTAAAGTCCTTTTTTCTTTAAATAAGTGCTTTTTTTCTTGAATTGAGGATTTGAGTGAAACATTTTGCCAATGCAATAAGACTATTTACATTTAAAAGAAAAAACAACTGCATTGTCTTATTTCAAAGTCTTATTATCTAAATATTTTCTTTTAAGAGTAAAAATCTTCATTCCGTTGGCAGAACATCTTATTTTCCTGCTCAAATTAAGGGTAAATACACTTTATTTAAGAGATTAATACTTATTTCTAGGTCATTTTTGCAGTGCTGGGGTTAATTTAGCAAACTGGCATGGAATGATCTGTCATTTAATGGACAAACAGTTATACTAGAAAAGAATAGAAAATTCTTTGAAGCTCAGATATGGTTTTTGTCACCATAATGCAGATTTCCTATGAAAAACACAAAAAGCTTCATTGCTTTCCTTCTAAATGTCTGATTAACGATGCAGGATGGGAACCCTGCGCCCAAACACTACCTACCTCTGTGCAGCGCACTAAGCTGCCATCTGCAAGGACCAGTTCATATGCCACACATATGTGCTGAAAAAGGCCGTAGATATGGGAGGAGGACTCGATGCCTGTGCCCATCACCAGCCCACCTGAAAAAGGAATAAAAACATTTCTCAATGCTCCTTTACAGTAATTGAATTTTTGCCCGGCTGAGAGCAACAGGGGGGCAAACACATGAGCCGATAACAGCGTTCGCCTGCTGTGAGCGCGATGCTCTGTGGACAGATGGATAAATGAATTTATCACAGCCTGATGGGAAAACATTAGATCGCTGATGCGTAGATTATGGCATCAGGAAATCCATTATGAAACTCCATCCAGGGGTGCTTCCACTGCTGCGGCCATTTCCTCCCGGTTTCATCTTCTGAGCTGCAGCACCAGCCCGCTAACACAATTAGAGAAGCTGCCGTGGCTCTAAACAGGATGCACTGATTGACGGAGAATATGCAGATCTCCGTCTCTCAGCGGGCTGTAAATCAGATGGAGCTTCTATTCTTAGAAAAACAAGAGATAGAAAAGAAACAGCAACCATGGCGACGACCCTAAAAATACCCCAAAGCGTGTCCAACATACCCACGGTGAGGTCATCCAGCTCGGGCAGCACCGGCAGCGTCCAGCCGATGGAGTTAAGGAGAGCCGTCACTTGACCCATGTTTGCCAGTGGCTCCACTCTCACCACCTAGAACATGAACAAACACCGGAATCATAAGAAAAAACAACAACATTGATTTCTTATCTTATTGCTTAGCAAAAATATAAATGTTGATGGCTTAAAAAAATACATAATGACT